CACAATTAACGGAGAGAAAAGGAAGAAACCTCACGTACAGCAACTGAGAAGGGATCCATCTCCAAGGATAACGTTAACATATTTGTAAAAGATGGATCTAGGAGGATGTCAACGAGCATACAGTGAGATCCTGTTGGCTGTAAACAGCTGACTACGGTCATAGAAGCTGCCAGAGTCATGGGACTCAAACATACAGTCTGTGTGCAAGCTGAAAGGAAAACAAAACAACTGAAAGCTGCCTAGAGGCCGAGAGGTGGGTTATCGTGCTCAGTGGGTTACTGAGTGGTGTAAAGCAAAATGGTGTGCTGGCATGACCTATAACTGCTGTAGAGGAATGAAATAACTGAAAGCTCAGCATTAACAAAAACACACATTCGTCCCACGGTTTTCTCTAACTGTAGACAAACACACTTAACATTTAGAGGAGGACAACCAGAAAGCGACAAGGAGTAAAAAGTTGTGTTTCTTCATGCATTGGTGTAAATATGTTTCATACGTTTTTGCCCTTATAATTGTTTGCAATCTTTGCTCTTTGTGGCGAGGAGATGGGATGAAAGATACAAAGCAGAAAAAAAGTAAAAAACAAACTCATTTTGAGCTCATGTGATGAGCATCAGCGGCTTGCAGGCACTGTGGCCTCAGACCTGAGTTAACCAGTTACTGTAATGTATGCTGGCAGTGTAATGATTGGCATAGCATGGTTGTTTAGAGCATGACTCACGCTAATGCCATGTAATAGAGCAAGACGTCTGGCAGTTCATTAGCACAGTCATTATGTTGGCTCAGTGAATCTCAATATTTTAGGGTTTCATCAATGCTAGTTTCTTATATGTGTCTCTTTATGTTAACTTACAATGACATCCTTAGTACTAGGGATGTAACCGAATATCCGAATAATCGTTCGTTGGAGTACTATTCGGGTTTCAATTTCGTTATTCGGATATACTTTTTTTTTTTTTTTGGCAGGCGCTCTGCACAGTGGCTGCCAACTTGAATTTATTTAAATCTCCAATATCAACGTAAGAGCTTGTGCCTCTTCGGCGGGTGCTAACACGTAACCATAAACTTTATCCTTTACTTTCTCCGTCTTGATATGTCGATATGACTTTTTCTCCGTTAATCTCCGTCGTTTCCATAGCAACAACAACTTCCTGTCAACAGCGCTAACTCTCCTTCAAAATAAAAGCATGTCCATACAAAATAGGAAGCCAAGCCAAATTACACTTAAATATATACAACTGCAACGAAAGTAATAAACACAATGCGATATCCTTTTCAATTTCAAAGAACACAAATTGGTTTGTATACATTAACAAATAACTATAAAACAACAATACTGTAGAATAACAAAATGAATGCCGTGAATAAACCGAAATACACGTGCTGAAGCAGTTCACTGCTGAATACTACGCACCCCCCCCCGTGCGTGCCGAATATCCGCTGCTGATTACCACCGAATATCCGGAGCCCGAAAAATGGTATTCGGGACAGCCCTAGTTAGTACCCGTTTGATTCATAGATTGTATCCCAGAGTCCATTTAAGGTAAATGGCTCAACCTGTAGCAGAGTGGATGTGAGAGTCGACCATAAATAGCTCGTCTCTGCGTGGACTAAATGGGAAAAGAGGACATTGAGGCTTACTCAACACTTACAAGGGTATTTTTGTAAACGTAGCTACTTCTTTGCGTTTCTGTTTTTTGTCCACATCAAGTGCTGTTTTAGGAAACAGAAAACAGCTGTTGTAGAACTCCAACCAGGGGGAAAACAACTCTAAAACATCAGGAATCTGAGTTATAAACCAGTCCATAATGCGTGCCTTTGTGTGTTGTCACTGATGGATGAAAAAAAAACAATGTGAGAATGATGGAGGAAACAAACAACTTGTACATTCTCACTGGACCTGTTTTTAGATGGATGCATTCACTGAGGAAGCCCGGGGATTTCCATTTGTTTTGGCAACATGTGTCACTCAAACTCATAATCAAATTCTGCAGTAAGTTTGGCATCCTCATTCCGATTCTTCCATAATTACAATGAAATAAATGGTTTATCTTGCCACTTAAATGTGGTATTTATTTATTTCCTGGACCAGTTACTGGCACCTTTATATTTTATGAAGGGACTTAGGGCGTTATTAAGCTTCGATGAGAGGGAACATTTGGATTCTTGTGGGTTGTTGGTTCATATGATGTTGTTTTTCTATAGTCAGTGTAGAGCCTACTGTAGATGGTGATTGGCATGCCCCCAGTATGGAGTACGGCCAAGTAGTGTACTGCTGTGGTCAGGGCAGCAGCAAAACGTTATTGATTATGGTGACTCTGATCTGACCCATTAAACCACAAAAGTCAAACAATGACACAAACACTAAACAATTTAGGCATCAGTAGACCATAGGGGTGTAACGGTACACGTACCCGTACCGAAATTATTCGGTACGGGCCCTTCGGTTCGGTACAGGTGTGTACCGAAGTGTACCGAACGAATATAACGTTAAACGTAAAAAATTGAGAACGTGAACAACTTTTTGGAAGTAATCTCAGGTGCTGCGTCGCAGCATTCAGAGTAATTTGGTCACATTGGGTTTAACGCGTCATAGAGCGAGCAAGTCATTTCATTGGATGAGAGGCATACTATGAGAGCTGTTCAGAGGGATGCGTTCAAATGTAGTCAGTAATTTGAGGAACTGTCGAAAATTAATGGCGAACGCAGATAAAGTTGAGCTCGAAAATCCTCCAGCATCATTGAAGTCTCCGGTTTGGGAACATTTTGATTTCGCAGTTACGTACAAGGATGACGGACAAAGACAGGTGGACCGAACCAAAGCTGTTTGTCGGCATTGTTCAACTAAAATTGGTTACGCGGCTGGCAATACGTCAAACTTGCACACTCTTGAAAAGGCATCACCCGAACGTGAATATCACCGGTACCAAAAGAAAAAAGACTGAAGTGCAAACCCAACTCCCGCTAGCATTTAAGCCTCCACCACTCGCAAAAAGATCAGACCGAGCCAAAGCTATTACAAACACCAAATATCCTTATGTTGCCATGTTAGCAAAGCGCTACCTGGCTGTATCTGCTACCTCTGTCCCTAGCGAGAGGGTGTTCTCCACAGCAGGAGACATTGTTAGTGCCAGCAGATCTGCCCTTTCGGCAAGCAATGTGGACAAGTTAATTTTCTTTAAAAAAACATGAAAATACAATGACAAGCAAGTCCTAATGTCAAGCTGGCTGCTTAGGTACTAGCACAGTACAGTTCAAATACAGATTATTTCAGTTCATCGAAAAGCTGCACCTTAATGTTTATTTTATTATATTTTGTATTTATTTGAGTGAATATTCACAGTTTAATAATAATTAAAAACCCAAAACTAATAGTTTATGTTTTGTGAGTACTAGTAGCCTACAGTAAAGTTTAAATACAGATTATTTCAGTTCATCGAAATGCTGCACCTTAATGTTTATTTTATTATATTTTGTATTTATTTGAGTGAATACATTATTCACAGTTTAATAATAATAAAAAAATATATATATATATATGTTTTGTTCTGTGAAAAAAAATTCTGCTGTACCGAAAACGTACCGAACCGAACCGTGACCAAAAAACCGAGGTACGTACCGAACCGAAATGTTTGTGAACCGTTACACCCCTAGTAGACCATGATCGGCGAGGTACAATAATTGTTGTCAACTGGATACTACGAGTGTTAGGATCTGTCGGTGTTGTAGTTTTGTATGTCTGGTTATGGGTATTTTCATCCTTGTATATTGTCTGGTCCTTCTTCCTGTGTTTTTCCTCCCGTCGTTAGTTTCCCTGGTGTGTCTAGTTGTCTGATTGTTTTCACCTGTGGCCCTTGTGTTTCGTCTTGTGATTACCCCTCCCTGTATTTAGTCTTGTCTCTTCCTGTGTTCAGTCTCGGTTCGTCTTGTGTTGTGAGTAAACTGCGGTGAGTGTTCTGTTCTGTCTCTGAATATTGTAGCCTTGAAATAAAGGAATTATTTTGTCACTTAAATCTGCATTTGGGTCCTGCTTCCTGCACACCGTAACAACGAGACACTCAATAGATTACCAATGACTTATTTTGGCTGGTTAATCAACTCAAACCAGCAGGTGGTAAACCAGACCCGGGGACTTGGCTCTGGTTTTGGTTTAGCTCACCTTCGAATAAACTGTACACACGCTGCATATCTACATTCACAGCTATAACGCACAGCAACTGCCGACCCCATAACATCAGACGGATGCCCTGCTTGCAATATACCTCACAGCTACACTAATTGATGCGGTGTTGGTTTAACATTATTGGGAATATGGCTGCATGTCTAAACAACAAAGCTCCTCACAAATCTACAACCACAACTCCTGTGCAGGCAAGGCAATCATCTCGTTTGTTAAAGTTAATAATTTGCTCTTTATCAGAGATATTTTTAAGTACAAAACACTGTTTGTCTGACCTGTCAAATAATTTGCTAACTGACTGCTGCTCAGTGTCCTATTTTCTTTTCCCAATTCAACCTTTGTCTACACAAACTCTTGACTCATGGACTTCCCAAGCAGTTGTTAAGCAGCTTTGTACGTAACATTCCTGCATCAACTAAAAAGCGTAGGCAGTAGTTTGGTGTCATGGCCAAAGCGGGTGCATGGACCGGTTCATTTGGTAAATGTTCACAAGATGTTTAGTGTTAAGCTGCTCAAATTACAACCGGGGAAATAAACATTTAACACAAACATTGCCATAGTCTAATCTTGTTACTCTTTCTCTGCTTGTATGTTGGGATGCGGCCCGGCCCAGCTGCTCTTTCTCAGACAGCACTTGGCGATAATATTTTGTTTAGAAGTTTCCCTTACTGCACTACTGTCCTCCCTCTGTACTTAATCCCTCTTTTCTACATGTTGTAGACGCCCACAAATTAAATAAAAATGCTAACTAAAGGTCAGAATAAGATATGTGTGTTATATCTGTCCTTACACCAGCTTTCTCCCTCTGTTTCCTTCCTAGGTTTTGAGTCCTGACCTCAGTTCGCCTCCTCCACTCTTCTTCCTCGGCAGCAGCCATGCCTCCAGCGCCGGGTGGGCCTGTGGGCTGCGAGCCTCCTGAAGGGGGCTGGGGCTGGGCGGTGGTGGCGGGCGCCTTCATCTCCATCGGCTTCTCCTACGCCTTCCCCAAATCCATCACCGTGTTCTTCAAAGAGATCGAGGTCATCTTCGACGCCACACCCAGCCAGGTGTCATGGATCTCCTCCATCATGCTGGCTGTCATGTACGCTGGAGGTGAGTGGCGAGTGTGTGTATTAGGAATGTCTGTTTCATTGTTTATTTATTCCTATTACTGTGTTGTTCTAGGGGGCATGTCTAATTATTAGAATCGAATAGAATCCAGTTTCTGTCCAGAGTGTCCATGTCAGAAGCGTTCTCACTTACTGCAAAGACTCCTTAGCTCTAATATCAGCAGCCGTTATCTCTGAGCTGTTCATGTCGGTCTGTTTTTGCGCCCGTTGAAAGTGTTGAAAGCCCCGACTGGCACGGTGTCAGTTTTTCCCCTCTACATTTCAATATGGAAAATAACAAATATCCCACACACTGTAACGCATTCCTTCCACGTGATGCTTGTTTGTTGTTTGGATTCGCTTGACCTGGAAATTAGCAATTCTAAATAACCAGCAGCACTTTCATAATAACTGACATTTGTAGAAACTCTTAACTAAAGCTCTAAAGATCAACCAGGAAATGGCCATATAGTCACATGGTATTTAGAATGTGTTTCTAAAATATTCACCACATCTTTGTTGTTTACAATACAAAGCACACTCTGCAGACTGAGCTATTTAATGCCGCCCTTTCTCAGGTGGGTGCTTGTTGTAGCGTGTCTTTGCCTCCAGGGAGCAAAGGGGTGTTTGTTAATACAACTGGTTTGCTGGTGGAGTGTTTGTGTGTAAATATTTGCGGTTGTGTTTCTATCGTCAGGACTGTAGTGTGAATGTTTGGCTCCAAAGAGGCTCTGTCTTCTTATCGTTCACCCTTCACTGAAGCAAATCAAGCACACACCTGTTTTTATCACCATCTCTATCTTTCTCTCAATCAGTCTCAGATTAGAAATGGATACTTTAGAGCAGGGGTGTCAAACTCAAGGCCCGGGGGCCAAATCCGGCCCGCCACTTCATTTTATGTGGCCCACAAGAGTTTGCAAAGAATATATTAAGTTTATTATAATGTTACATGCCGCTTTACAGGAGAATGTTGCCCATAAACTACATGTCCCACAATGCATCTCATTTTGTGACATGCACAATGAAGAGATTTGCAATGATTTGCCCTAGACTTCTGCTTTCAGACGTAGTTAATTATGAAGTTATTACCCTATCCGATAATAATCCAATGCAGAGGAAATATTGTAAAAGTATACATTATTTCATATTTATTATGTATATTTATCTATGTATATTTATATAGTCTTAAAGTTACCACCGGCCCTTTGAGTGCAACCATAATTCTAATGTGGCCCGCGATGAAATTGAGTTTGACACCCCTACTTTAGAGAGTGAGTTCAAACCAACTATGAAAACCAGCACATATTTGTCCGGCTGCTGAATATAAACAGGAGGGCGCAGATGTTGATTTAATGAAATTATGTTTAAATGAATAGTTAAGCAGAATGATTACAAACAAATCATCACTCACCATCTTATATCGTGCAGAGATTCTCCCCTTATGGTCAAATGTCACAGTAGAGGCACAACAAAAAAACATGTACCTGAAAATGAGCATATTAGGGCCGCTTAAATGAGTCATCTGGGCACAAAATTCATCTGAAGGTTGTTGAGATATTCATAGTGTTGTCTCTGCAAGCTGAGCACCTTCATACTTGTTTTGGCTCTTTCAAATATTTTGAATATAGTCCGATGTTTCTTACGCTTTATGGCTCTTTCACTGCACTGCTTCAACAGGCTTTTATTTAGATGTTAATTCAGGATTCAGGCTGGAGAAAGACTCCCAGGTTCAGGTCAGGTTTCTCTCTTTCTGGCGCAAGACACAAAGCAAATTCCTTCCTATGCACACTCTCTCTCTCGCTCTCTCTCGCTCTCTCTCGCTCTCTCTCTCGCTCTCTCTCGCTCTCTCTCGCTCTCTCTCGCTCTCTCTCGCTCTCTCTCTCTCGCTCTCTCTCCTCTCTCGCTCTCTCTCTCGCTCTCTCTCGCTCTCTCTCGCTCTCTCTCGCTCTCTCTCGCTCTCGCTCGCTCTCGCTCTCTCTCGCTCTCTCCCGCTCTCTCTCTCTCTCTCTCTCTCTCTCTCTCTCTCTCTCTAAAAATGGTTTCAGCTCCTTCCACTTCATCTGCGAGCCAGCCTGCGTTAGATTCAGGCATTTATGAGAGGAAACTGCTGAGGGGGGAAACAGGGGAGGAGAGAATTGCATAACAGGAGCCAGATGTTGGCGTTTTCTTTCACAACCTTTTATTTTCTTTCTCCCCTATTTCAAAACTCAGCCGGCTCAACAGTTAATAAAGTCACAGTGCTTGTACAGCGTTAAGGTGTAGGCCAACAGTTACCATCGCCACATGACTCACTGTTTACATCCGTGAGGCAGCTCACGTCCGCACACCCTCTTCCACAGAAACACACACGTATTCTCTGTGGCTGCACTACGTCACTGAATGCTGACTAATAGTGTGAAACGGATTCAGTGTAAGAAGGAAGAGGAAGATATTTGAGGCAGGCATACAACAAACGAAAGAATTGCATCATTTTCAGCTGCCAGTATAGTCAACACCTACATTACAAAACACACAGCTACAGGATAAATACGAGTCATTGCTTATGGTGTTTTGTTTTAGTTTCAGTAGTGGTATGTAACAAAGTGCATTTAGTCAAATTCTCTACTAAAGGCAATCAATATTTTAGGGTGCGTTCACATCAGCCTTGTTTAGTCCGGTTGAATCGAACCCTAGTGCGTTTAGCCGCTTGGTGCGGTTCGTTTGGGTCGGTGTGAACGCAGTCCGAGACCTCTGAAGTGAACTAAACAACCGGACTCTGGTCCGCTTAAAAGAGGTGGTCTCAGACCGCTTGCAAGTGAACTCTGGAGCGGTTCATCGCTGGTGTGAACGCAGTCCGCACCAAAATACAGGAAGCGTAGTATTTACGAGCAGTGTTGGGCAAGTTACTTCCAAAATGTAATATATTACATATGACTTATTACTGTCTTTTGAAAGTAATAAGTTACATTACAATATTACTGTCTCTGAAATGTAATGAGTGACGTACTTTTTAGTTACTTTCACCAAAATAACCACAAAAGAATGGCTAGGTGTTTTAAATGCTAAAATGTAGTTTAGTGCAGCTCATTATACATCCAGTGAAGGGCAATGTGGTATACAGCATAACAACTGTTTAGGCCCTTAAGGCTACTAACAACTTTTATTACACGGCTTAGTTGAATACTCAATTCTGATTGTAAATTCTTAACATGTGACACGTTGATAATACAGCAGTACAGACCACTGTCAAGGACTATAATGAAGGTTGCTAAGGAGGATCCAGAAAGAGAAAGGAAAAGAGGTTAAAAGACGGCGTGCTGGACGTCAGATAAATCACCAGAATAAGGCAGAGAGGAAGTAAACAATAACGGGACACGGAATGGGCTCTAGAGTGTGTTTAGTATATGGCCGTGTACAGGCCCGGTTCCAGAACAAAATGACTCAGGGTGCCTCTGAGATTACAGGGGGCGCAGCAGTAGTAGGTTTACATGAGCAATAGTGGCCGGCAACAGCAATGAAAAATAGGGTTGATGTTATGGTCCCCAATGAACAGATTATGGCCTTTGTTATGTTTTGAAACCAAGCAAGTGAGAACATTTCAAGTGAGTTAAAAGTGCAATCCTGAAATATCTCATATAGTCCAAAGTGGACTACGGCAAAGAAAAGCACAAAAGCTTCAAAACTGTACTGATAAAACAAATGAGAACATAATGTAAATCAAGGCAAATATTATTTGAACCAGCTCATGATTTGAAATGGCAAACATTGAAAAGCAAAAGTATTATTAAAACCATGTACTAAATCATCACTTTGATCCCATCATATACTCTGGGAAGAGAATATTTACTGTGCTTGAAAACTGGTATCACATCATCATGTGAGGTTGACTTTGTGACCTGGAGAACATTTCAGCTGCAACATTAGCTTGTTGATAAGCTTGGGATATGAGATCTTTTTGTAGCCATTCGTGGTGAAGGCATCTGTGCTATTGTATGCATTATTTGTGACCCAACATTTCTACAGGCATGGCAGAATATGGCACTATTTTCACATGAATATTCTAGCCCTGGTCTATTTTTATACCACGAGCTGCAACATGACCGCCTAACCCCACTGTACAGGCAGGTACTCGTTTAGATATACCTGGGCAGGCTCTGTTTTGCCGTGGTATCCTGGCACCTGCAGGCCGCAGAGGGGCGGCGTAGTTTCGGGCAACGAAGACTGCTGCTCCGGGGGCGAGGGCGGCGAGTCAGGCGGGAGTAAGCTAGTGTCCACAACGGAGGGTGATGTCCCCATCTGACCTGTTGCTACTGTCTGCAGTAGATGCAGTGTTGCTGGCGTTTAGTGATGGTTGCTTTAACTATTTTTGTATAAATGATTATCCACAGATGTGTGTCACTGCTGTGGAAGCACTTTGGAAATGATGCACGTGCAGCGGAGCAGATCACGCGCACCTGACACAATTTGTTGTTTGTATTTTTCGCTCAGTTCTCTTTTTTGAATAGAGGGTGCATAACATTCAACTGCCCCGAAGATCCCGACGCGAAGCCTGAAGGGTAAACACACCAGGTTTACTAATCTACCCGCACAATAATTTGTTTCTGGTGTCGGAATGTCTCGTTATGTTAGTACATTCAACAAAACACCATTTCATTTCGGGTTGAAATGTGTTGTAACTGCGTTAATGAGCATTGTAACGGGTAATATATTACCCACATTTCATTAGTAATGTGTTACATTTTGCTGTAACGAAGTAATGTAATATATTACTGTAACTCCATTACTTTTGTAACGCGTTACACCCAACACTGTTTACGAGTCACAAGAACGCGGATGTCTTCCAAATCTTTAGCGAAAGAGTGAAGCAGAATGAAGTGTTGAACAGTGTCGTGTAAAGTAAAAATGCTGTCGTCGGGGAAACGCCCCTCCTTACTGCAGAACGCCTCTCAATAGGCTATATGTGTGTTTTAACGCACGTCGTCTGATTATATAATCATATACTGTCCACTAGATTCTGTTGATCTC